ACCCTGCCCGTCTCTGCGCTGATGCCCTGGATTCCCGGCTGCCTCTTTTCATAACCCTCTCCTTCTCTCTCTCCGGTCTGTCTTTCTCCGGCTTGCTTCAGGCCTCGACGGGCTGTGAGGTCAGCTTTAGAAGCGTGTGTGATCTCTCATTCCTTCCCCTCTTCTCTTTTTTCTTAAACTGCCTCACACATTTTTGCCCTCCGCAAGTTGTAAGCCATTAACCTTTCCTCACTTTCCACCAATCTCACTTTTTTCCCTTACCCCTCCGCTCTGTATATCCGCATGCCATTAACTCTGCCCTGACTGTACCATACATCCCCTTTCTTTCTTAACCTCTTTCTGTTCTCGCTACAGTTTCACCCCCTTACTTCCGCATCATCCCTTCTTCATCCTGCATGGTAATCTCCTTCTCTTCTGCCTTGTTATCTCCCCCTCTCTTCCCTCCCTCCAACACCGTAGTCACTCTCTAATTGCTGTCTCACCCCTGCTGTGCTCGGACCCGGAGGCTAAATGATTTCTACAGGGAGAGTAAGAGTGGAAGAACGTGAAAACACAGAGCAAGAGACATTATTGATGAATTCCTTGTCAGGAGGTGTGTGTGTTTACAGTTAGTGTTGGCCCTCCTATTGGCACCATCACACACTTTCCTTGTTTTTATATTTTATGTCTCCATGCCTCTCGCCTCCTTCCTTCTTTCATAAAGGACCCTTTTATCTCAGTAGTGTTATTTATGACTGTGAAGCAGGACTTATTAGCTTTCTGTGTTTTGTGATGTGTTTGTTTACAAACACAATGTGGATTTGTGTCACAAAGAAGTATTTGTGTTTTCCAGAATGTGTATTTATGTCAGCCTCCCTTGAGGTCAGGAGATGAAATTAAAAGCACGTGCTTACAACTGAAGTAGAAGAAGTCGCATCGTTTTACTTGCGTAAAAGTAGTAATAACCACAGTGTGAACATTTTGGAAAAAATGTGGCAAAATGGCGGACTCCGCCACTGAAACACCAGCCATATATAGTGTCAAAAATTGGGTCTATGAAAATGTTAAAGATTATGACTTTAAAGGGTACTCTACATTATATTGTGTAAAATCTGTGAAGTCCCTCTTTAAAGATCCAGTCTGTAACATTTAGGAGAATCTATTGGCAGAAATGAAATATA